ATTCTAGAATACAAAACACATATGAATGTTTATCCCATATTCTAATTATTTATTAGGTCTGGATGTTGAAATTGAGATAAATACATGCAAAAATTAGTGATTCCACAATACACGATCCTGCAAGAGAGAATTCAGCCAATAGAGCCATCCCTTCTGTCACTCGAGATCACTTTTTCCCCTTTGGCGCGCTGTGATCGTGGACCCATGGCTGGTGGTCGGACAGCCACCAGATGGAGCCAGCCGGGCAGTAAACGTGGGCAGGAGGAACTGCTGTGGGTCTTCCTGCATCGCTAGGACTGAAAATAGGGCTTCTATAAACATAGTTATTACACCAAAACTCACAGGATGTTTGGTAGACTGTGTGATGTGCTGATTCATGTGTGGAGGCTGATGCTCGGCAAGGAAAACAGGTACTGACTAGTAACTACATGCAGGAAGAAATCTGGATCCAAGTGATGACAATGGCCAACTCCAATTTCAACAGGCAGAAATTCTTGGAGAGTGTAGTGTGTCTTAGTGCAGCACTTGTAGCCTTAGAGGATACATTTGTCATAGTTCTCCCACATTTTAAGTATAGTAACTTTTAGGAAAAATGTAGGCTCATAGGCTAGATGATGCAGCCCTAATAAATTACTAGTGTTTATCCTTAACTGGAGTTCTGAGTTAATTATTCAGTTCAGGACGGATTGATAAAAATGCCCTTTTTCATATTCTGCATGCTTCATTGCTCTTCATTTTGTTCTTTGGAAAGCTGCTTACAGCTGCTATTTTGGGGTGTTACTTTTTAAAATGTATGTGGCAGCTTGGTTCTTTTCATTTTAGGAATTACATTTGCTTTTACATCCAAATCATAAAAATCAAGAGTACCGATAGACCTGTAACATTTTGAGTTGTTAAACAGAGAGTTATTTTATGTGATCATATAAAGTACAGGGAGGTTAAAAAGTCCCCAGTGCAACAACAGGAAAGAGGCAAAAATTGCAAGTTATGTTTTCTTTTCCTCATTCTGAATTTTCATCTTCTCAACGAGGAACTGGTGGAGTGGTTGGGGGGGGAATGGTTTACTTTAAATCAGAGATGAAATCATAATAAAGACTTAGTTGACAGGGAAACAAAAGCCTCACAATAATCCGTCTTTGGAAAACAACAGCTTTTTTAACATTAGGCAGCAACTTTTTAAAGACTGTGCTGGCGTTAAGAAACAGTGTGATATTTCTAGAGCCATATGTGACACAGCTGTTTAGCACTGCTTCAGCTCATCACTTGTTTCATTACATATGGTGCTGTATCAGACTAGCATGCTGCACTTTACTGAACCGATGACTGAAATAAACATAGATTAAAGGGATGCAGAGTTGCTCTTGGATGCAGCTGGCTGGACCAGTCCTAACAGGTGGACTATTTGATGGATGACCTGGCTGTGAGATCTTATCCAGAGAGTGGTGGTCAATGGTTCAATGCCCCAATGCAGATCAGTGACAAGTGGTGTCCCTCAGGGGTCAGAACTCACAGCCCAGAAAGACAATTGTATCCTGGGCTGCATCCAAAACAAGGGCAAGGAGGTGATTCTGCATCTATGCTCTCTGCTGTTGAGACCTCATCTGGAGTACTGCATCCAGATGTGGAGTCCTCAGTAGGGATGTGGACCTGGTTGAAGTATGTCCAGAGGAAGGCCACAGAAATGACCCAAGGGATGGAACACCTCCTTATGAGGACAGGCTGGGAGCTGGGGCTGTTCAGCCTGGAGAAGAGAAGGCTCTGGGGAGACCTGAGAGTGGCCTTTCATTGTCAAAAGGGGGCTGTAAGAAAAAACGGGACGGACTCTTTAGCAGAGTCTGCTGGGACAGGACAAGAGGAAACTGTCTGAAAGAGGAGAGATTTAGATTGGACATGAGGAAGTTATTTACAATAAGAGTGGTGAGGCACTGGCACAGGTTGCCCAGAGAGATGGATGCCCCATCCTTGAAGACACCCAAGGTCAGGCTGGACCAGGCTCTGAGTACCCGATGTAGCAATAGGTGTCCCTGTTCGGTGCACGCAGATTGGATTAGCCGGCCCTTAATGGTCCCTTCCATCTGAAACAATTCCGTGATTCTATGATTTAATCGTATTCTGTGGCATAGAGCCTTCCTCTTTTTTTCTAATAGGCCGGCCGGGGCCGGGAGCTGAGAACACCGCAGGAAACGCTGCCATCCTTATAATATCCAGAGGGCCGTTGCTAAGCTCCTGCGCGGTTCCCCCCGGCCGCCGGCTGGGTTCGTCGCTAGGACGCGGCAGAGGAACGACCCCTAATGCCTACCCCGGGCTAAGCATTTCGCCACGGGGAAAGCAGGGCCGAGCCCATTCCCGACCGCAGCTCCCTTCCTCCCTCGTCGCCTTCCCCTTCCGCGGCCGCGCCGCGCGGGGTCACCCCGAGTTCCGCGCTCCTCCCCCGGCGCCGGCCGCGCCGCAGCCGCTTCCTGCCGGCCCCGCGGCAGCCTGGCCTCGGGCTGCTGGACGGAAGCGGGCGCCGAGCGTGCCGCGGGCTCAGGTAGCAGGCCGCGGTGGGGATAAGCGGGACTGAGGGAGGAGCCGCGGCCGGGAGGGGTGAGGGACGGAAGGGCCGCGCGGGCCCGCATCGCTCAGCCGGGTGTCGCTGCGTGCCGGCCGCCTCAGGAGGGGGGCGGTCAGGAACGCCAGGAAGGTGATGGGGTTGGCGCGGGTCCGGGCCCGGCGGGGGGGGGGGGGGCGGCTGACGGCGCCGGGAGCCGCGGTGCGGCGGGAGCGGAGCGTGGGCCTGGAGGGGTGGCCGCTGTGCCTGGCTGCAGCCGTGCGGATGTGTCCGACGGGCCGCTCCTTGCCGGGGATCGAAAGAAGGATCCGCGCAATTTGTAAATTGAAAGAGAAATTGGGCGGATCCGACTTGTTTTTAAGGCATGAAGTGCTCGTGGCCGGGCTTTCACCGGCTTTTATAAGCTTGGCCAGCTTCTGCATGCTACAGAAACCTGGTGCTTCCTTCAGCTCTGGGTTTGTTTGCTCACTAAGCATCATTTCACGTTGAAGCCAAGAAATCCAACAGAGTAACTTGGCCATGAGTTGTGTCAGGCAGGTATTCCTTTAACACAGTGCCTGGTGCATGGGGATGCACAGCAAGCGGGCACATAGCTGTACGTGTAAAGGCAAAGCGTGTGCATTTTCATCATCACATGTCCCCAAAATGGGTTACATAGGCATTGAGTTCCCGGGAGCTTGAACTGCTCCACCCTCTTGCACGTTGCTCCAAAATGATGGGAGGGCTCTCTGGGCTCTGTCTGGTGGTTGCTGGGTGAAGGCTGGCAGTCATCCTCAGGAAGGCTCGAAGCCTTGCTCGCTGTGGTCTTGTAACTTCTAGGGGGATTGCATTATGCTGCAACAGCAGCTCTGCCCTCCTTATCTTCACAAGAGTTCCCTAGATTTAGCCCAAAGAGAAGAAGTAAATGTGTTTCAGCACTCAGGCTGTTTAGCCTGAGATCCTGCTAAGGTGGAGCAGGGCATTCACACGTTCATTTTCTTCTCATAGAGAGCAAGAACTGTGTTCTGCAGCAGTTGTCCTCCCATTTCTCATGTCAGTGTCATTCTAAATGGAAAGCAGCTCACCTATTGTTAAGCAAACTAAATACAAACACTTAATCTTCTCATTTTTCAACATCACTATTGCCAAGATTAGGATGAGTTGTACCACTGGTACATTTTGGTCTTTGTTTTCTTAGTGCTCAAGGAAGAACAGAGCTTTTTTAGTGCTTTGAGCTTGAACTTCACTGAATGAGGCAACGGATGCAATGTGTCACCAACCAGCACGCACTGATGCAACCACACATGCACTGCTGTGTCCAAAGCCTGACAGCAACCCAAGCACCTGTGGTACAATGAAGAACTGCAGTGTTTGCTTTGGGCTGGCATGAAGATGAATGAAGTGAGAGGAGGTGACTGTCTGAAGGATTTCTGAGTGTGTATTTCTGGAGCTGTGGATCTTTCTTGGTGCCTTTCCCAAAGGGCAGGTTTTGTTCAGAGTTAACCATGCTTGGATACCACAAAGACAGAGATGGCTTGGAGTCAGCCATTTTATTTTTATTTCATTTTCACAGTAGATAATTTTTACTGTGAAATGCTTCACTTTCACTCTGCAGAGAGGAGATGCATTGTAGGAAGGCTTGAAAATGCCTTGGTTTGAGCTGTGAAGGTATGACGTGCTGTGCTGTTCTGAGACTGAAAAATCAGACACTCAGCTACTGGATAGTATCAAAGTTAACAAGTACAACGATAACTCTGTGCCTCCTGTGTATTTGTGATTATATTTTTAGTCATGTTGTGTGCATTGTTTTATTTTTTCCAGCAACACCTTTCCTTGTTTGTTGTGCAGAATGAAAGGCATTGAAGGTATTTGTGTCACAAACAAGCGTGCTCTTGTTCTGCGCTGAGTCCTTTCACCTCTCACACTGAACGCTTCATGAGCTCTGCTGTTTGGGCTGAAAGTCTTAATTTCTGTTCATGGCAGTTGCTCTGATCTCAGTGCTCCAAATCAGTGTTTCGTTGGTATTGGGATGACTTTTGCAATGTGAGGGGAGGGTATTATTTTTGTAATCTCTGTGTTCCTGCCATTTAGAATAGTTGCTAAAGTGCAAAGTATCCTTTGGCTGTTGTGCACTCAAAGCCAAAGCTGCATTTTTCATTGCCTGGTAATGTGAAACGCTGTGTTTAATCAGAGCTGCATTTGAATTTAGTCATTATTGTCAACAAATAACCTCTCCTAGATGGCAATATATGGTTGTCTGAAAAAGTTGAAGTAGTTACCAAAAGGTGTGCTTTTTGTTCCTGGCTCAATAGTATGCATCCATTGGGTGCAAAAATAGGGATACGATCTTTTTCAGGGCAGCCTTCAGTAATTCGCTTTTGTTTTTTGGGGATTTTTTTGATACTCAAAGCTATTCTGCCATTTCCTGTAGCCTCTTGCCTCGCTCGCT